AAAGCCTTTGATTCGATCGAGACGTGGGCTGTGGTACAGTCTCTCCAGCGGTGCCAAATTGACTATCGGTATATCGAAGCGTTAAAATGTTTGTATGAAAACGCCACTATGTCAGTTCGCCTCCACGACCAGAATTCGAAGCCTATCCAACTGCAGCGAGGTGTCAGACAAGGCGATGTCATATCGCCAATGCTGTTTACCGCTGCGTTGGAAGATATCTTCAAGCTTCTGGACTGGAGCGGGCTGGGCATCAACATTAACGGCGAGTACATCAATCACCTTCGATTTGCCGACGATGTCGTGGTTATGGCTGAGACCCTGGAAGACCTTAGAAAAATGCTCGAAGACCTCAGTAGAGTCTCACAAGGAGTAGGTCTTAAAATGAACATGGACAATACGAAAATTATATCAAAGGTCCATGTCGTACCTGCTCCCGTAAAAATCGGAGATTCTACACTCGAAATTGTCGATCACTATGTATACTTAGGGCAAACTATCCAGCTATCCAATTTCGAGAAAGAGGTCAATCGTCGAATCCAACTCAGATGGGCAGCGTTCGGGAAGCTCCGATATATCTTTTCGTCCAAATTTCCGCAGTGTCTCCAGACGAAGGTTTACGACCAATGTGTGTTGCCAGTGATGACTTACGGAACAGAGACGTGGTCGCTAACTATGGGCCTCATGAATAAGCTCAGAGTCACTCAGAGGACAATGGAGAGGGGCTATGCTCGGAGTTTCTTTGCGTCGAATCAGAAATGAGGAGATCTGCAGAAGAACCAGAGTGACCGACATAGCCCGAAGAATTGCGACTCTGAAGTGGCAATGGGCAGGGCACATAGCTCGTAGGACAGATGGCCGTTGGGGCAGTAAAGTCCTCGAGTGGCGACCACGGACCGGAAGACGCAGCGTGGGAAGGCCTCCAGCAAGGTGGACCGACGATCTGGTCAAGATCGCTGGAAGGCATTGGATGCGAGCAGCGCAGGACCGATCGTCGTGGAGATCTTTGGGGAGGCCTATGTCCAGCAGTGGACGTCTTCCGGGCTGCGATGATGATGATGATGATGATTCACATATTTCAACTTAAAAATGTAGAGTTACCACAAGTGATCAAAAGAGCAACAGACTTAGTCTTCCCCGCTTATTCCTTATACGATTAGATGTTCACCGAACGAGCGGAAGATTCAAAACAAAGTATTACTTGAATGAATAAAGTTCTCAAATTGAAATTTGTTTGAACGAAGAATCCATCATTTCTATTTCTATACGCTCGGCCTGACCTGACTCTTACAGATAGTTCCAGTCTCCTAGGATACACAACCTCAGGAGCGAGGTAATTACACTTAGCGGAAATTAATTGTAAACCTGGATTTTCACACGCATGTTTAATTTATAACCGTAAAATAATTTATATGGTCGATTCGGTAATTAACCGTTGTACCTACATAACGCTACTTCATTAACAAGTAGTCGAATGTTTATCTCTATACGGTATTGACCATAGCTGTGACTGAGCCACTAAAAAGTATTCAGAATGATTATTCAGTACGACTACAAATTTTCTTTTTTATCCGTGGTGATAAAAAAGAAAATTTGTAGTAACGATGTATTAATCAATTGAAGTCACGCTACCGATTCACTACGCGTTATATCATTTTCAAAAGAGCAGTTTCTAAAAATACGCTAAGAATCGTTAGTTCGTATATGCAATGTCTTTTAATATTAAAAATATCGTTACCAATGAGTACTGGCGTCTTTAACATAATCACAAGGTACTAAGAAGTTTACTTCTTGTGAGATGTTATTGAATTTTGCAGATAATGTAAGAAAATAATCGGAGCTCATTTTTGTTCCGACTAAACAGCATAATATATGCAGCGTTGGGTATACGAGTATACAACACGAAAACGATCATTTGATTTTAAAGAAGTTGTTTAACCACTATCAATGTAAACATCTGTGGGTACCCGCATATTGCGGTGGTAATTTCGTCGCGATGTGCATTATCACTAGTCCAAGTCACGGCAAAAATTTGCGTTAGCCTAACTCAGATTAACCTTTTTTGGCGGGTAGTTGCATAGTTCAGTCCATTAAAACAGCACTCTCAAAATTAATTAAATTTATTATTAAATTTACATATTTCTAATTAAATATCAATATTTTTTATTATTCTTATAGTAATTATTATCATCTAGTGTTTGTAGCCGTTTCTATGTATTTATAGTATAATTTATTTGCACTAACCCGCCTGTCGCTGCTACTATTTTAGACATCACAAGTTCACTGTACTCCAATATCACTTTATCATTCAACTAGACATCATGACAAGTATTGCTGATGTTGCATCCATCCAGAAAACTATGGAAGCTACACTTTTTAAGAAGATGTCTGAGCTAGAGTGCCAGCTGAAGAATGCATCTTCCTCGAGTCCAACAACCAGTCAACTGCAGCAAGAATTCCGTGAGTTTAAAGAGTTCATGCTCACTATCTTCACACTTCTCAGGCAGCAAATCACGGAACTCAATATATCTAATGATGATATTGAAATGCGTCATCGGGCCAAATACCTTGTGCTCAGCGGTGTGCCTGAAAGCACTAATGAAAATCTAACTACCACCGTGACTGGAATACTGCGAGACCACGTGGGCCGTTCTCTTGGGGAAGCTGACATCATTAGCTGCTATCGAATGGGTTCATTCACTGAGGGTCGGTGTAGACCAGTTGTTTTCCGACCTATTAATTCGGGTATCAAATTAGACATATGGGCAAAGAAATCGCGTTTAAAAGGAACCCAGTTTGTCCTATCTGAATTTCTGACTAGACGGAGACAGATGTTATTCCTGGAGGCTCGTAAACGTCTAGGTATTCGACGGGTGTGGACTCATAATGGCAGTATATTTGCGAAAACCGCCTCTGGCTCACGTCAGCGTATTTCAAGCCTGGAAATTCTAGAGGGCATTTCTGCGGAGTCGAGTCTGCCTGCATCAGAGGCTGCTGATGTATCTTCTAAGCCCACTCAGGCGGTTGATGTCGCAGTTAAGCATACACAAGTAGCTGCTGGCGGTCCTGCGCGCTCTAAGCGTACTGTGAAAGCGAAACAATAGTATAGGATGCATATTTACTGTTATACCTTTAGTTTTCTTTATATTTTTATTTCACCCACTTTTATGTTTGTATTATTATTAGGTTATAAAAATATAATGTTTACGTGACTAGATTGTCATGTAACAGTAATGACAGTGACAGATTCATTTAATAAGCATAAATGTCATTCATTCATTTTATGAACTAATCTGTAATCGGTGACGTAACCGTCTGTTGTCATAAATTTTTAACTATTGTTGGTGACTGGATACTGAGTTTATTCAGCTATATTACTTTCTTTTTTTTTTTTGTTTTTTTTTCTCGTACAATCGATAATATATAGTATAAGTATTATTTGTATATTTTCAATTCCTATAACGCAATTATGAACTTGTGATTATTTTTCAAATTAGTTATTAGCTTTAACAGCAGTTGGCCGGCGGTTTGTGCATTGCATCATTGTCGGCGATACGCTTGCAATTTTTTTTTTTTTATATATCGTGCCTTGTATATTATATATATATATATATATATATATATATATATATATATATATATATATATATATATATATATATATATATATATATATATATATATATATATATATATGTATATATATTACTATTATATTTATACTTTTAGTACGAATACAGTCGATGTGATTCTGGTATCTGAAAGCTGGTTAAATGCTACTATTCCCTCCGCCTATGTTAGTTTACCTGGTTTCATTTTGCTACGTAATGATCGCACTGATAGGCGAGGAGGTGGTGTGGCCATTTACCTGCGGGGTAGTATTAATTATAAAATTTTAGTTAGTTCATCCATCACTGGTAGCGCTGAATATTTATTCGTGGCGGTTGATATTAGGGGTACCAAGATCGTTCTTGGTGTTGTTTATTGTCCTCCTTCCATTGATTACTTTCAAGACCTCGAGTCTGTTTTCGAAACTGTTATGACAGAGCACACACATCACATTATCATGGGAGACTTCAATACTGACTTGCTACAAGATATTCACAGGTCTCTCAAACTGCGCAATATTGTGGATTCGGCAAGCCTTTCTGTATTACCCCTTGGTCCCACACATATCAACAAAGATTTTCCTGACACTTGGTTGGACCACATCTTTATCTCATAACCAACATCCATACTAAAACATGGCCAACTACCTGCACCAGAATCCTCTCGACATGACCTATTATATCTTTCGTATGATATTAAAACTTTTAAACCTAAACCGGCAGTAGTTCGTCTTCGAAATTTCTCAAGAGTTGACATGACAAAATTGGGCAAGGATCTAACTACAGTTGATTGGTCATGTGTACTGTCCGCCTCATGTATTAATGACAAGGTGTCCGAGTTTAATCGTACTGTGCTTCAAATCATGGACAAACATGCACCGGCCCATCTAGTTAAGGTTAGAAGAGAGCCAGCTCCCTGGATAACTGAGGCAGTACGCATGGCCATGAGAAAACGAAATCGTGCTTTTAGGTTGTTTAGAAGGGATCGTTGCGATGAGAATTGGAGTAATTTCAAAACTGCCCGCAACACCTGCAACTATATGGTAAGAGCAGCTAAACGCCGTTACATCCATTCGAATATTCATAACTCCTCTTCGGCCAATACTTGGAAGTTTCTCAAATCACTTGGGTTTGTCAGATATTATGAACTAATATGTAGGTAGATAAATAATAAATACTCTAATGTGTCACCCATTGTACAAAAGAATAAAGTATCATTCACAGCCTACACTTGTTGTTTGAATAACGTAACATGGCGCAGTCGGTATAGTTAACAATAATTAAGTAAATATATGAGTATACGCAAATATAATCGGCATTAAATATAAATAATAAATATATATATATAGTGTAAAATTAATACAGAACATTATAAAATAAATTGAAATAATAATTATGGAGACCATCTTGTCGCCGCCATTGCCTTTCACATTTGAGGAGGGCATGCTGGATTCTTCGGGAAGATTGTGTGACAATTGGGAGAAATGGAAAAAAGGTTTCAAGATATATTTTTGTGCGTGTGAGTTGGAAAAGAAATCTGCAAGTATTCAAATGAACATATTATTGCATGTTATTGGAGAACAATGTCGTGAAATTATTGATCAGTCAACGGAACGTATAAATAACTTAGACGGTGTTTTTAAAAAATTGGACGATCATTTCAAAATTAAAAAGAACGTTACGGTGGAACGTCATAAGTTTTTTACAAGATCGCAAAAAGAAAATGAATCTATTGAGCAATATGTTTTGGATTTAAAGAAATTAGCACAAACATGTGAATTTGGAATTTTGAATGAAGATTTAATAAAAGACAGATTAGTGTGTGGATTACATAGTTCTACTATTAGAGAGCGGTTATTACGAGAAGATGATTTAACGCTAAATAAAGCTATGGATATATGTCGAGCGGTGATAGTTTCCCGAGTATATTCAGATAATATAAAACAAGAAAAAGATATGATATGCGATATCAGTGACCAATCGAGTAATTTAAGAGGGGACGTATGGCAGATAAAAAAGAAAAATAACATATCATATTCAAGAAGCGGCCGTCAAAATGATGAAGCTGGACCGTCCCGGGTATCGAAGTGGGGAACACGTGCGTCGTTGCCGCCGCTGAGTCATCGCGGTCGCTGTGACCGGTCGGAGCCAGCGGTGTTACGTAGTAATAATGAAACGTCGTGCGGTCGGTGTGGAACGGTGCATAATAGATACAAATGTCCCGCGTATGGAAGAAAATGTTTACGTTGCTCCAGAATGAATCACTTTTCGCGAGTTTGTCGCGTTTATCAAGTGGAACAATCGGAGGACGAGGTAAATAATTTTTTTAAACGCAGTAGTCACCATGATATTTGGACGGTAGATTTAAAACTAAATTCTATTTTTCTAAATTTTAAAATAGACACAGGTGCTGATGTCAATGTTTTACCATTTAAATATTTGTCTAGGATTAATATATATAAGAAAAATTTATTAAAATGTGACACAAAATTAATAGGCTATTCAGGTGAAAATATAAAAATATTAGGAAAAATTTATTTAAAGGTGTATTATAAAAATAAAATGTATGCTTTGGAATTTAAAATTGCAGATGTAAATTCAAAACCTATACTGGGGCGTGAAGCTTGCTGTGAGTTAGACATCATTCGGCGAGTCATGTCTATAAAGGAATCATGTAGTAGTCGTGTTCCGGAGATAGTGGAGGAATATGCTGATGTGTTTGAAGGAATAGGATGTCTGCCGGGTAAGTACAAAATAGTATTAAAAGATAATGCAGTTCCAGTTATTCATGCTCCACGAAAATTGCCATTCGCTCTGAAAGATAAGGTCAAACAAAAACTGGATGAAATGGTTTCCCAAAGAATTATAGCAAAAGTTGACGGTCCTTCAGACTGGGTCAATAGTATAACAATTGTTAAAAAAGCGAATGGTGATTTACGCATTTGTTTAGACCCGAAAGAATTAAATATGGCAATAAAAAGAGAATATTTTAGGCTACCTACGTTAGATGAAATAGTATCAAAGTTGTCTGGAGCAAGGTATTTCAGCACTTTAGACGTTACTTCTGGATTTTGGAATGTGGCACTTGATGAATCTAGCAAATATTGTACTTTTAATACGCCGTTTGGTAGATACAAGTTTCTTAGAATGCCTTTTGGAATTTGTTCAGCGTCAGAAGTCTTTCATAAAAAAATGTTTGAATACTTTGGGGATATACAAGGTTGTGAGATGTACATTGATGATATTTTGATATATGCTATTGATAAAAAACAACACGATGAAATACTGAAAAAAGTGCTAGATAGATGTAGACATATTAATTTAAAATTAAATAAAAATAAATGTAAATTTGGATTGGATGAAATAAAGTATTTGGGGCATCGTATTACAAAAAATGGTTTATGTCCCGACGATTCACATATATCAGCCATTAAAAATATGCCTATCCCAAAAAACAAAAAGGATGTGGAGAGGTTTTTAGGCATGATAACCTATGTCAGTACATTTATTCCCAATCTCTCTGACAGAACATTACCACTTAGAGAACTGTTAAAGAAAGACATATCGTGGCACTGGAATGAGAGACATGAAGAATGTTTTAATTATTTAAAAACATGTTTACTGAAACGTCCTGTATTACAATATTACAGTATGAATAAACACATAGTTATATCTGTAGATGCTAGTAAGAGTGGTTTAGGTGCATGTCTTATGCAAGATAACTTGCCAGTGTGTTATGCTTCAAAATCATTGACAGAAACAGAGCAGAGATATGCACAAATTGAAAAAGAACTGTATGCATGTTTATTTGCTTGTGAACGATTTAATGTATACATTTATGGACGTTCCGACGTGACGATAGAAACAGATCATAAACCGCTCATTAGCATAATAAAAAAACCCACAGTAGACGCACCACTCCGTTTGCAAAGAATGTTGCTTAGATTACAACGATATACATTTAATTTAATATATAAACCTGGCAAACATTTGTATATAGCGGACACCCTATCTCGCGCATATGAACAGAATTCTGAAGATGATATTAGTCATACAGACCAAGACGAAATGTGTGTGGTGGGCGAAATAAGGTCTATCACGTCGAAATATACAGATGCACAATTTTTACAGTTGCAAAAAATCACAGAAACTGATAATGAACTAATACAGTTACAAGAATATATTGCGAATTGGTGGCCAAGTAACAAAAGTGAAGTAGCTGATGCAGTTAAGCCATATTGGAATTTTAAGGAAGAACTATCTATGAATTATGGTTTAATTTGGAAAGGTAACAAAATATTAATTCCAAAAAGTTTAAGACAAGAAATGTTGCAAAAGATTCATATTGGACACATGGGGCTGGAAAAGTGCACTTTAAGGTCGAGGGAGATAATGTTTTGGCCTGGTTTGAATAATGATTTAAAAAATATGATAACGAACTGTAACATATGTCTAACACATAGAAAAAGTAATCAAAAAGAGGAACTACAACCCCATGAGATTCCAAATCGACCCTGGGCTAAGGTAGGTATGGACCTGTTCGAAATTAAAGGATGTCACTATTTACTAATGGTTGATTACTTCAGTAAGTTTTTTGAAATTGTACAGTTGCCTGTGACTACTTCAGAATATGTCATAAATTGTATAAAGAATATATTCAGTCGTCAAGGAATACCAAATATTGTAATGTCAGACTGTGGTCCACAATTTGTGTCACATATATTTAAGCAATTTGCACAGGAATGGAACTTTATTCATACAACATCTTCACCACGATATCCACAATCAAATGGACAAATTGAGCGGACAGTGCAGACAGTTAAAAATATCATAATAAAAACGAGTGAATCACACACCGACTATCGTATTGCACTATTAGAGTACTTAAATACACCGTTAGATGAGAATTTAGCATCACCGGCGGAGCTTTTACAAAGCAGAAAGTTGCGAAGTGTTATTCCCGTGTCTGACAGGCTATTAAAACCTAAAATCCAGAAAAAGGTACATAAAAAACTAATGGAGCGACAGATAAAACAAAAAATGTATTATGATAAAAATGCAAGAAATTTAGATAAATTACATATTTCTCAGAAAGTGAAAGTGTTAGATTTAAATAAAAAACGCTGGGTATCTGGAACTGTAATTAGGATACTTAGGGATAGGTCATATGAAATTTTGTTACAGAAAGGCAATAGGATCGTTAGAAATCGAAAACATATAATAAAAGATTCACAACTCAGACATGACTCGCCCTCTGATTATAACCTGGATTATGATAACATACATATATAGTTGCTCAACTCAGAATAATAATAATTATTATGTTACGAGATTTGGTAGAACAGTAATACCACCAAATAGATTGGGGTACACATAAAATTTTCATTGTATTTCTGTTAGTAAGTAAGTAATATTGTGTTTCGCATACAATTGTATTTTTAGACTGTAGGTACATGTACATATATAACATAGATAAACATACAATGCATTGGAGTAAATAGTTATTTGTACCCCAAAATAAAACAGAAATTTATTTGAATGTCAAATGTTATATAAAAGATAATGTTAATTAACATGTAATAATGAAATAAATATTAAACGCAGGCATAAATTATGATTATATAAAAAGAAAAAAGTTTTTTTTTTTCTTTCGTTTTAGTATGATTATATATTAATTTTATTGATTAGCTAAATCAATACATATTTAAAATAATATTAATAATAAATATGTAATGTATGTATAAGCAATGATATCAATTAATTGCGTTTGTATAGTATATATTAATTGATAAATGTGATAAGTATATGTCTGTATACTTTCCACAACATTTTAATTATTTCTCATTGTATATTTAAATATAATTATGTTCTATTCTTACTTAATTTTAAGAAGGGAGATGTCAGATATTATGAACTAATATGTAGGTAGATAAATAATAAATACTCTAATGTGTCACCCATTGTACAAAAGAATAAAGTATCATTCACAGCCTACACTTGTTGTTTGAATAACGTAACAGGGTTGTGCAAGCAACCTAATGATTTTTCCTCTTCTTTTTCATTGAATGACCTTAATAGGCACTTTTCCACCGTCCCTGCTTTGAGTGTTTCTCAAAAGTCAAGTACTTTAGCTGAGATAACTTCATGGCCTAAACTTCCTGTAGTTGAATTTTTATTTACACCCACCTCTGATGATGAAATCTTTAAGATAATATCCTCAATTAAATCTAATTGTATTGGTTCTGATGATGTGAGTAGACCTATGATAATTCTCTTACTTGAAGCCATGCTCCCTATCATTACTCACATCATTAATTTTTCTCTACTCTCTTCTGAATTCCCTGCAGTATGGTTAAATGCTTTTGTTCTTCCACTTCCTAAAGTGTCATCCCCAAATCTTCTTAAAGACTTCAGACCTATCTCAATCCTACCCTTTCTCTCTAAAATACTTGAAGCTGTTGTCCATAGGCAGTTATCCGACTTTGTTTTTAAAAACAAGCTGTTAAACCCATTCCAATCGGGTTTTCGACCTGGACACAGCACTACTAGTGCCTTATTGAAAATCACCGAGGATACGAGAGAGGGTATGGAACATTCAAAATTAACTGTTCTCGTTCTAGTCGATTTCTCAAATGCGTTTAACACCGTTGACCATGATATCTTACTAGCTATCCTTTCTCATCTTGGGATTTCATCATCAGTCCTTAAATGGTTTTCCTCCTATCGGGGACGTCAACAGGCGGTTCGTATCAATCAGTCATTATCTGATTGGTGCGATCTTGACGCTGGCGTCCCCCAAGGCGGTATTTTGTCTCCATTACTTTTTTCTATCTTTATTGATTTCATCACTAAGAGTTTGAAATGTTCTTACCATTTATATGCAGACGATCTTCAGATATATTGTCAGACAGTTGCGGCTGAGGTCAATGAAGCCATCGACCAATTGAGTAATGATCTTGGTCATATATTCAATTGGTCCAAAAAGTTTGGTGTATTTGTTAACCCTTCTAAGTGTCAGGCGATCATTCTTGGAAGTCAGTCCACAAGTCCACAAGTCAGTAAAATTAATTTAAATATTCTACCTCCACTCCTGTTCAACAATCAACCTATCACATACAGTACTAAAGTTAAGAACCTAGGTTTATTAATGGACAGTACTCTCAGTTGGCAGAACTATGTTAGCGAAATTGGCCGTAAAGTCACACTTACATTGCGCAACTTATATAGGTTAAAAAACTTTCTCCCTGTAAGCAAAAAATTTTACTCATCCAGTCCTTAGTGCTCCCTACCCTCGACTATGCTGATGTGTGTTGTTCTGACATGAATGTAGACCTTCTAAATAAATTGGATCGTCTTCTTAATAATTCTATCCGCTTCATTTTTAATTTACGTAAGTTCGATCATATCTAATCTTTTCGTTCACAGCTTAAATGGCTGCCTATCCGTTATCGTAGAAATGTCCGTATTCTATGCACTCTCTATTCTATTCTGTACGATCCAAACTATCCTGAATACATTAGCAGCAATTTTCATTTCCATGGGGACAACACCAATCGCTCTCTTCGCACTACTAGAAAATTATTACTTCATATCCCGGCACATTTGTCTGGTTTCGTCCATTATTCTTTCGCCATTCAGGCAATCAAACTTTGGAACGACTTACCCCTTCATATCAAAACCGCCACGAGTAGATTTTCTTTCAAACGTAAATTACGGGAACATTATTTAAACTTGTAACCTTTTCTGTGTCCTGTTTTCTCATTGTGCTTTTTATTTTTAGGTATAAATATATATATTTTTTTTAATTCCATTATTTGTGGCAGTACATGATATTTCATTGTCAGATTATTAAATATGTATTTATGTATGGTTTATGTAAGTATATATATATGTAGTTATTTATTCATATATATTTTTATGTGTATCGTTTTACATATTTTTTTTAAATTTGCACCGCCAACAATTATTCTCTGCACCACCATATATAAGATAATGCCGCATGGTGTTAAGTCCGCCATATGTACTTTCAATTATGTGCATTAAAGTTTTAATAAATAAAAATAAATAAATAAATAATTTCTTTCTAAAGTAAACGTATTCAGTATGACCTATCTATAATATATAAAGCTGCATTACGGTGACTCACTGATTGACATAGTTGTTCTCCCAGAAGCAGTGCCGGGGGGTCGTGACGATGTATGGGGGAAGTGTACCTCTCGCTAGGGTGACCACGAGAAAATTCCGAAATTTGGGAAAATCCAAGATGGCGGACAAAGATGGCGGCTAACTTTTACAGTTTCGCTCGGATCGATTCCGTTCAAAGAGTGATTTGGCACGTCTCGGCGGGACCCAGAATATGGCGTAAAAACAAAAAATTAAAATCCAAGATGGCGGCGAAAAAATTGCCAAAAACTGGTTGAAAATTTTCTACGGTTTCAAAAACCGAAATTCCCAGGGTAGTTGCGGGGGTGCTGGCGACACCGGTTGTAGGGCATAAGAAACTCGAAGGACCCGACCTCTAGGGAAAATTATGAAATTTCGAAAATCCAAGATGGCCGACGAGTTGGGGGCGTGTGAATTTGGTCCTAAAAATCCGGATTATTTTCAAAATAATTTTTTAGGTACAGGGCAACCCCGCAGCGAGTCGGCTTCTATGGGGCGATGATGGGTCTCGGTAAGAAGTATTGCCAGCGCTAAAAAGAATTCCCGAATTTGGGGTAATTTGGGAGAAATGGTCCAAAAAGTGGGAAAAATTTTTTTCGACATTTTTGACAAAAGAGGTATCAAGGCCTATCGAGAAACATCCCCTAAAGGGTTTTAGGTGGGTTTTGTTGGAATTTGCTGGCAACACCCATACATGGTTTGACCAAAATAGAAATTGGGGTGTCTCTCCAAAAACTGAAATTCCTAGGGTACTTGCGGGGATACTACCGATCCCTATTGTAGGCCATTGGGAGGCTGAAAGACCCGGCCTCTAGGGAAAATTATGAAATTTCAGAAATCCAAGATGGCGGCCAAGCTATGGGAGATTTAGTTTTTGGAAAAATTTTGGGATATTTTCAATCGCGTTTTTGCTGCACATGGCAACCCCGTAGCTAAACGCCACCTACTGACATGGGTAAGTCTCAGTAAGAAGATTTGCCAGGGCTAAAAATTTTCCCCGATTTTGGGTTAAATTTGGAGAAAAGTCCCATAAAGTGGGAAAAATTTTTTTCGACATTTTAAATGAAAAAGTCTTGTTGGTCTACCAAAAATCGTCCCCTGAAGGGTTTTAGGGGAATTTTGTCAGAATTTGCTGGCAACACCCATACATCATGGGACAAATTTTGAAATTGAGGTCTAGCTTCAAAAACTGAAATTGATAGGGTACCTACCAGTGTGCTAGCTCAACGCACTGTGCGGCGTCGGATAGCCGAAGGACCCGGCATCTAGGGAAAATTATGAAATTTTAGAAATCCAAGATGGCGGCACAGATAGGGGAGTTTTGCTTTTCGGATAAAATTTGGGACATTTTTAAATGTTGTTTTAGGACACATGGCAACCCCGCAGCGAGTCGACTTCTATGGAGAGATGATGTCTCTTGACACAAAGTATTACCTGGCATGAAAATTTTCCCCGATTTTGGGGTATTTTTTGAGACAGGTCCTAAAAAGTGGGAAATTTTTTTTTCGACATTTCAAACAAAAGGATGATGAAAATCTGTCAAAAGTCATCCCCTTAAGGGTTTTTGGTGGTTTTTGTCAGAATTATCTGGCAACACCTCAGATCAGTTTTCTTAGGGAATAGTACAAGAAGAAGTCACCGAAGCTCTACATAATGTATAGACGAAATGTTTCTGCTACTAGGGTGAATACGTCAAAAGTATTAAGAAGTAAAAATCCAAAATGGCGGCAGAGATAGGGGAGTTTTGCTTTTCGGAGAAAATTTGGGATATTTTTAAATGTAGTTTTAGGACACTTGCCAACCCCACAGCCAGTCGACTTCTATGGAGAGATGATGTG